TGGAAAACAAGCAGGTTGTATGGATTAATGAGTGGGCCTACATAAGCTACTGTTGCCGCATCTTTTTCACTTAGACTAACGGCGTGCTAGTTCCTAGTCAAGCTAACTTACTGTTTATTTATTTCATCGGTTTCCTGTTTCTTTTTAATACTCCTGACCTATATACTCCTATACTCTCGTCTCAGCTGGAACTGGCATGGTTGGAAAGCCCATCTGATCTCAAGAAGCAACTGTTTGTCGAGTTCGACGGTGAACAGGGTATTGACGAAGGTGGACTCAGCAAAGAGTTCTTCCAGCTCATCATTCAGCGCATTTTCAATCCCGACTACGGTTAGTCAACTTTATATCTGACGTGTTTCTGTTCTATTCAAAAACTACCTCCACTTTCCTACTAGTCTTGGCTTGTGAAGTAACTGTCTTACATTAAGCTGTCTCTTCCTCTATACCGTTAGATATCTGTGTTCATTTACCGTCGCGGTGTCTGCGACGCCTACGCTGATGATTGTATTTTGAATATATGCAACAATGGCTCCTTGGATTTTAGACAAACTGACGAAGTTTTATTTCTGATCTCTTCGTTTATTTGTTAGGAAACAGCCATCAAGAAAACAACTTCTCAGATTCGCGATGTTAATTAGCTGCATGGTTAGAACGTTAGTTGTGGGTCATTAAAATTCCGCTCACATTTACGCATCCCTTTTCATAAAACCAGCAAGTGCAGAATCGCAAGTTCTCACTCTCCAGACATTTTTTCTTAGGTGGCTGAGTTGTGAAAAGGGCTGAACTGAGATGTCTTCATGACGTCGTTAATTTCCGGTTTTCTTTGGTTGCTGTGTTTATAGAGCACTGTCTTATCGCCCTACTTTTAACGACGTCGCGCATAACACCAGACCACTTTTAACTGATATTGTCATCGTCTGGAAGTTTTTTTTTAATTTCGGGCCGCGTCAAGGCGATAAATGTCATTTCAAGGATATGTGATAGTAAACGCTCAAAGCCTCTGCGTAATCTTGTTGCGTACCGCAAAGGATGTTTGTTTAATTGCATACTGGCCAAGCAAGCAGTTAGCTGCAACATGTGTCCTGTGGCCTGAGGCTGTATATGGGGCGAGGCTAGTGTCTGGCTTTCCGCCCTTCACTCTTTTGCCGCGAGAGTGTAACCGCTTCCCTTTCTGGTTGCTTTTATAACTCAATCCATGTCTGCATTCCCTTAGTAGTCTATTTCACGAATTCCTATTCACTCTACGTTTGTAGTGCTTATTACAGTGTTCGATCGCAAGCCGCACCAAACATATCTCAACGTTTTGATTTTTTAAAAGAATTCGGCACGTTCTCTGCTAATGTTTCCTGCTGACTACTTAGTTTATTTACTGCCGATTCTTGGAATTCCCGCGTCGCACCTAGCAACCTGAGTCGCCATGTCTTATCCATGGAGGAGGGGGATTTTCCGCTGAAATTGCCTTTTATGCAGCCTTTTTTATCATTGCTGCGGCAAACACAATGCTAAAGTTAGAAGCGTTTTCTCCATAGTCTGAGTGCACTTAAAGCCTCGCTCTTTTCAAATTGCCGTGCTTTTGAAACACCACTCGAGCATAGGAATTCCATAGTTCTGACGAAGAAGAAGGTACAGTAGGTGAGTTAAATCACGCAAAGTCATGATGGAAATTGGAGTTGGTAGTTTAGCTTACATTTCGTCTCGTTTGTTTGATGTGATGAGTGGATTTTTATCCCCAGCAAACCTTTGTACTAAAGAGACCTGCATGTTTAGCTCAGTTTATTTAAGGGAAGAGGCAGAATTTTGGCGAAATCGGAGGTTGTCGAATATCGAACAAATTTCTCCTATGCGTTGCGCTATAAGAGGACACCAATATAAGCAAGCCAAGTTTAAAATAAATCCCTTCCAGAACCGGGAACTCTAGTCTTAAGTTGATGAAAAGCAGGTGAAGGTAAGTTTAAGGAATCGCAGTTTTAAGAACTGAGGAACAATTTCAGTTTAATTAATATTTTCCAATGTCTGACGTTCTGGCCGTACTTTGTTTTGCTGCATCGAAGATTCGGGCCCGTAAACAAAAATGCACATGTTTTATCGTGTACGCGGACATAGGAAACAACCTTGATAAATATGAAGCACGTGGCAAACTGCTTTTTTGTACGATAGTTTCCGCTAGTGTGTAATTTTGAAACGGAACAGACAAAGGATAAACCGCTTTCGCAAAATCTTAGTTTAGATTCCGTCACTCATTTTTGCATTTGCAACCTTGGAACGGAGCCTCAAAGTATTCAAATAGGGTAAAAATGCTCCGATATAAAGAGAAAAGTGAGTTCTTTCATCTCCAGTCAAAATTGTATCATTTAGTTGTCTGTTAGATCAAAAAAACTGGTCAAAACTACCCATTTGTACTTTGACTTCACATTGGAAAAATGTGACATGCACACATGTTCGTCACTTGTTTATCTAACTGAAGTTGTTTTTAAAGACATAACCTATCATACCAAGTTTTTGATTGATCTTATACATAACACAGACTTCCGTTGTGGACGTTATTTTTGCTCGATACTGTGGTCTGGTGTTTGCGGGAGTTTATAATTATGGCCCCCATGACCATCTTCATAAGAACTAATATCCAAAAATTGACGTTTTCGGTAAACGCTTTTAAGAAATATATTTTTTTAATAGCTTTGATATAACCGTCGAACAAAGTCTACATTTATAGGAAAAAGCTTGAAAACACTGAAAATCGTGAAAAATGAATCGGAATTTAAAGGTCGATCTGAAGGTAATTGTGACCTAATATCTGAAATATCTTTAAAGGAATTTGACGAAGGGGAAGTACTTCTAATATAAAGAAATTGATATAATTATGGTTTCATCTGACGATTACAAGTTGTATTTCTAAAGAAACAGTTAGTAATTTTTATATTTATTTTACTTTAAAGGCTCGCTTAAGGTTTTTCATTATTTTTTCAAAGCCTTTGTACATGCGTTATTGCCATTTTACGAGTGATTATCAGTCTTTCCTTAATTTTGGCATTTTGGGGCATCAGTTGGGGCCCGAACTGTATGTACGGGCAGAATACATGACCTACAAGTTCCACGGAGACTGGCCTATTAACTGTCAGCAGCCAGCCATACCCAACCCTAGGGGTGGTGACCCCAGAGACTCGAGCCCACGACCTTCTTAGCTAGAAGTCCAACGCTCGAACCACTGCGCCACGGGCTCCTTGCCTTGCCGGTTTCGATCGGAAATATAGACAATGGTAGATAGGCGCTCCTCGATCGTCTACAGAGCTCGCTTGTCGCGTTGTGCCTTGCGGTTAGCTCTCGAGCCCCGCTTGCCACCGCTCAACGGCTAGCATATTATAGACGGAAATACATGACTGACAAAGATTAGTGGGGCTCTAGAACGAGCCTCAAGGGACAACAGGACGAGTGAGTTCCGTAAACGATTGGTGGGCGCCTAGAGAGCAGGGAGTGTATTTTGCAACATACTAAATGTTCTTAAGTGGCCGAATGAATACTCTCCAACTAGGACAGTCCATGTAATTAGTCTTTCAGGAGACTTGTCTCATCTACCTTATTGCATCTTTTCCGTCCTTTGCAAATTGTCAGGCCACTAGTCTGCAGTCGTAACAAACGTTCGGCTACGTTTTTCTCATTTCCAAAGTACAATTCGGATGGGTAGTTCGTTAAAAGGTGTTTTTAATAGCGCTTCTGACTAGAAAATAGGCCTAGTACTTATTTGATGGATTCTAGATTGAGTGTTCAGAAGATTCTACTTGGCCAGCCAGCTTACTATATCAGAATTGGATTGCATACGTTGCAGTAAGTTGAACAAGTGACTTGGCCAAAATGTGATTTAAATCACAGCACTTGGTTGGGTCTCAGTTGTTCGGGGCACTGTCTATTGTAAAAGTGAGTTCAAATGCTCTACTTTTGTTCAAACCGCAACGATGGTTAGGTCAGCAGTCTTTCTTTTCTATATTTTCATTTCATAACGCTGTTGGCCTCATAGGTGTTATGTCAAAATGTTCTCTCTTTCGCTGCTAGGAATGTTCATATTTGACGACGAAACCCAAACATTTTGGTTCAACCCATCGCCGATGGAGGATCTGGATCGAGAGTACTGTCTCATCGGCACAATACTCGGTCTAGCTATTTACAATCACATCATCCTTGATATCCACTTTCCGTCTGTGCTGTACAGGAAATTAGTGGGCAAACTAGGCAACTTTGAAGATCTGAAGGAGGGCTGGCCCATGCTAGCTCATGGTCTGCAAGAAATGCTCAACTACGAGGAGGATGACTTTGAGGAAGTCTTCTGCTCCAACTTTGTCATCTCACGGAAGGACATGTTTGGCAATATGGTGACTGAGGAGCTGGTTCCTGGTGGCATTTCCAAACCAGTCACAAAGGCCAACCGCCAGGTAGGTGAATCTGCATCAATCATTAACTCCCTACCCCCATCCCCCAGTTATTGGAATTCTTCTCAGTGGTTTGGTTATGACACCCATGTAACTATCGCTACATACGCAGGGGTTAAGTAAGTTAAACCCTAGCGACTGCGATCTTCAGGCCATGGTTACTTAGTACATAAGAAGTCTTGGGAAGGCCAGAGTGTTAGGAACAGTATATTGTGTACTCAGAGGAACGAAGAATAAAGGGAAGAAATTTGTCTTGGGAGCTTACGACCAGCCAGGAGGGCCAGCCAGGTCCAAGTGCCAGTTTGATAGCAGTCAGGCCAGTGGACAGAGAAAGCATTCACGCGTGCAGGTTTGCCATTCGTCGCCAGGCCAGGAAGCAACTTTGCGGCAACTCTGATTGACTGTTCCCAGGCGTCGAGAACCACAGTCGTGAGCTTCTAGCGGTGTTCACTTCGACGCGAGCTAGTCAGTACAGCTGCCCCCCTTCCGAGACCGAAATTCGATTAATGAAAGAAATCGAACGGAGGAAGAATAGTTAAGTTTAGTAAGGGAGATACGTACTAAGGTAGGGTTGCAAAACAGCCTGGGCAGCTGTGGCTGGAATGAGCCAGGACGCAGGGACGGCTGAAGAAAGCCGGTTGTTCGGTAGAACGTCAACAGCAAATCAGTATGCGTTGTCAGTACAAGTTGAACCAAAAGGTACCTTTCGCGCTGGAAATAGGACCACTTGTAGAGAATATTTGGGTGCTGGTATTCATGAAAGGGCATCTCTGTTGGATTGGGAAGTAACCATAGCCCGGGCTGAATTTGCTGTAAGCGGTAAATCGCGAGTGCAGATCACTAAATACGCAGGGACAACAGGCCACATCAGAAGTTGCATTTTCAGATCAGTTCGGATAGTCACCAATATAACCATTGAAGAACTTAACTTTGACGAATCTGCGTTTTCGATTATTCATCCTCCGGCCTAATTTAGCCTATTTCTGACAGGGAAGTTTATAGGAGAACGGGCAGTCTACCTGTGATTTGTATTTCATCACCGTGGCGTCAGGTGACAGGATGCGTGAACAAAGCTATGTGGAATTGAAGCGAATGTGCGCATTCCAGAAACGTGTATATTCTGAGAAGAAGAAGAAGAAGAAGAAGAAGAAGAAGAAGAATGATCGAACACTGGAATCATAATTTTATTAGCCTGAGCTTTTGGGCTCTTGCAGGAGCTCATCATCAGAGAATGAGAGAACAGCAGCAAATGAGTTGGCTAGCTGTTTTGTGCCAGCGCCAGAGCTAGCCAACGCATTTGTTGCTGTTCTCCCATTCTCTGACGATGGGCTCCTGCAAGAGCCCGA